TTGCGAAGAACATTAAAAAAAAAAGCACCATGATTGTAATTAGTGTACAATAAGAATTTACTGCCCATTTTCCATTTAATTTAATTGTTTATATAACAGTCTTAACTCTATAGCTTAGCATGAAGGACACAAGAGTAGAAGAGGGAGAGAGGCAGTGTATTAGTGACCTTCTTTGAATGCAGAAGATTGGTTAGTATATACACATATTTATCTTTATAAAATAAGCATGGTCAAAATTACTGAACTTGGAATACATGAAGTGGGATATTCAGATTCTGCAGCTTCGGTGGCTTAAGAAACTTCCAAGAATATGTCCGAGGAAAACCTTGTCATTGGCCCCATTTGGCATAGAAGAGAGCCAGAACTAAAATGTCATTGCTTTATTCAAGCCAGATGAACTGAGATAAATGGGACAACTGAAAGTGATTATGGTAGGCAGAATTTCAAAATAAGACTGAGGAAATATAATAGAAACTGAAAACTTGGGACCTTGAGCCCACCTCGGTGTCTATTTTCTTGAGAGACATGATCCAGTTTTAAACACAAAAACTTAGATTTAAAAGTAGTTTTACAATATCTACCATTAAGACAACTGTTTTCATAACTATTTTTGTATTTTAATAGAAAAAGGTTGTTTCTGACTCAGGTTTTATTTCATGTATTTAAACATAGCCCTGTAATATTTTACAACTAGAAACATTGCAGCCATGCCAACACACAAGGGGGAACTAGAAAATGCAACCCATTAAAAAAAAAAAAACCAAACCTGAAACCCATTCATTCAGTAACCGGTAAAGTGAAACGCCAAAGCAAAGAGCGAGCATCAATGGTGAAAATACATGAAAATATTAAATATTAAATTGGCTTATGTTTTAGTCATCTGAGGTATCATAAGCAACACAGATAAGGGTTTTTTTAAGAATATATGACTTTAATTGACTTTGTCCTTTTAATGATAAATTTACAATGAAAATGACATGTCCACCATAATTTTGAAATACAACATAGCTACCACCGATTTGCTGCAAATACCTTTGCATTATATTTGTTTGTGGCAGAGGACTAAATTTGACAAAAATAAATTCTTATACACATCCACCCTTGTGGGATTAATAGCAAGATGAAATATTTCAAATTAAATAAATTAAGATAAAAATCATATAAAATAATATAAACATTCCTCCTGGATCTCCTCAAGCAAGATTTTCCTCAGCACACTGTCTAATACACCAACCTTCATAAAAAAAAGTGAAGAAAAAAGATCTGTTTATTGAGAATGAGGCAAAAGGATGCAATTGACATTGGCCTGAGATTTTACCTCTTGTCGATTGGGGTAATAGCTTTTCCTAACCTCCAGTATCGATGTCAGTCCACCCCCAGAACTCTGAGGCCATTTGTATTGGGAAGAGCACACACGGCTAATAAGTGCACGGCACCCATGCAACTTCTGGTGCATTTGCTGATCCTTTGAGGCCCCTCTCCCAAAAGCTGTCAAAGACGCTAGTGGCAACTCCTCTGATACTTGCCACAGACAGGTGAAGCGGAGATGGTTTTATTTAATTTGGAAGAGGAAGAGTTTGCTCTGCCATCTCTCCATGCTCCCACAATGTGTACTCAAGCATTAGGGGACAAATACATCAAATAAATATCAGATAAAAGCACCCAAAATACGCTCGGTAATGCAAAGAAAGGATATATTTTAGGGTATGGTCAGAGAAGATATTCAAAGCCTCCATTGTTGCTTCTAGAAATGTCAGGACAATTCAGAAATGTCAGTTCCTTTACCGGTTTCCAGATTGTAATTGAAGGATCATGTAGCTCTCTCGCTCTTTCTCTCTCTTTCTCTCTCTCTAAATAGGTCTATAAAGATCAGCTGGAAAGTGCAGACAGAATTGTTCACTGGTTAGCTTTACTTAGAGCTACAGGGTATATATGTGCTTTGTTTTGTCTTATTGATCAATCTAGCTTACATTTTTAGCACACACAAACAAAAATCAGGAAAAAGATAAAGTTGATGAAAAACACGAACAACACAAAACAAATAAGGTTCCAATCGTGCAAATTTTGCTTCACTGGATAAAGCACTTCTTGACACAGTAATGTCCAGAATCCCCCTCCCCCAGAAAAATACAGGACTGAGACTGAAGCCATTCTTTTTTTTTTCCTTTTTTTTCTTTTTTTCTTTTTTTTTTTCTTTTTTTCCTTAAGGCTATACAACACAAAGAAATAAAGCATGGAAAGAACACCTCATTGGGCTGAACACTTCATTCTTCTGGCTCTGGAGCGAGCCTTTGACAAAGCAATTGTGTGGTCCGAGTTATTTGTCTCACCGGGACAACAACAAGAGAAAGAAAAAGAGGAAAAAATGAAAGAGAGGAAAAAAATAAAAAAGAATAAGAAAGTCAATGATCCCAACAATAAAATCCGAAATTGACTTTACAATCACAGGTACAAATTGCTCAGGTTGATAATTTCATTTCTCCTAAAGATCACTGTCGTCTAAAACTAATTAGAGGCGCAGGTTCCCGAGGAATTGTCAATATTCAAAGCAAATGTTGGAGTTTAGAAGGTTATCATTCTTCTACTGTGACAGTCTGACGGGGTGACTGGAAATATTGTCATGTGCTGCCAAGTTCAGGGTGTCGTTAACGATTGAATCCGTGCTCTGGCTCATGGATCTGTCTCCTATTTGGCCTTCTTTTATAGTGGAAAGACTAAGAAGCCGGAAAAGGTTGAATATTTCCACCCTCCCATGAGGTTACCCCTTTCCAGTTTGAGATGCACTTTGTCTTCTCTTTCCATGTGGAGCAAGACCCCATTGCTGGCTGCTTCTCTGGTGACGTCCTGATCCCCTGCAAAAGCTGAAATCACTGGATAGCCGTTTTGCATTAAACTTACCTAAAAAGTGCAAAGAGAGAGAATCTGAGTTTTCTCAATACCCTCAATGACTTTTTTGCCCTGTGCAGGTTAGAAACAAGGTTGAATTAAGCTAAGGCAATGCGTGATTTCTGTCATGCATACAGACCCCTTTAACTAAAATAACCTAGTCTCATTCTTCACTTGCTGGTTTTGTAAATGCACCTTAGTGTCTAGAAATGAGCATTTGAAAAAAAAGGAAAGACAGCATCTTCTTTAGATCACAACCCACCTGGATGGTTTGTCTGTTATAGACCTTGACCACGTGGAAACTGAAACTATATATCCCTTTTCTTGGTGCTACAAATATACTGGAAGCAAGATCAAAATGGTTGCCAATATTAACTAATACCTGGAAAGTAAACAAACAAACAAAACAAAACAAAACAAAAAAAAAAGGAGAGAGAGAAAGAGAGAAATCAGGCCCCACCTTAGAAAAGCGCCAGTGAAAATCTGACATGAGCTCCATGACTAATATAAAGCCTAGTCGAAATGGCATTTGCAGCACAATTAAAAGTGCACTGCAGGGGAAAGAAGCCAAGTTACAGAGGCATTTAAAAAGCATCACAGTTCATAAAACGATTTAGTTATGCAAAAATGATCTCTAAAGCCTGTTAGATGAAGTGCAAATGTCCACACTGCACTGTCAATAAA